TGGGGGAGAGGAGAGGGGAGAGAGATGACGGGCGGGGAGAGAAGAGAGAGGAGGAGAGAGAGAGGGGGAGAGAGAGAGACGAGAGAGAGGAGGAGAGGCAGAGAAAAGAATGAGAGAGAGAGAGAGAGAGATGAGAGAGAGAGGAGGAGAGAGAAGAAGAGAGAGAGAGAGAGAAGAGAGGAGAGAAAGAGAGAGAGAGAGAGAGCGAGAGAGAGAGACGGAGAGAGAGGCAGGGCAGAGAAAAAAATGAAGAGACAAAAGAAGGAAGACGAGAAGAAAACAGCAATAATAAAAGAGGGAGTGAAGGAGAGGAAGAAAAAGAAACGAGGAAGAGGAGATGGAGGAGGAGAGGCAGATGGGAGAGAGGGAGAAATGTGAAGAGAAGAGGAAGAGAGAGAAGAGAGGAGAAATGGGAAGATAGAGAGAGAGAGAGAGAGAGAGGAGAGAGAGAGAGAGAGAGAGAGAGAGAGAGAGAGAGATAGAGAGAGGATGAGAGAGAAGAGAGAGAGAGAGAAGAGAGAGAGAGAGAGAGAGAGAGAGAGAGAGAGAGAGAGAGAGACTAACTTCCTCCGCCTCCCCATTCGGTAATAAACCTAAAAAAATAAATCAACATTGAAAAATAAAAAATAAAAATAAAAAAGGAACGAATGAGGACGCAGACCAAAAAATTAAACAAACAACAAACAAAAAAAAAAAAAGGAAAAAAAAGTAAAATAATAAAAAAATGAACAAGACCCAGAAAATAATAGACACTGATAGCGTACGTCCATGCCTGTTGATCATTTCATCCCGTGAGAAGGAAACAGCTGGGGGCGCAGCATCCATTCGTAAACAATCTCGCTGGAGAGGAGGAAGAGGAGGAGTAGGAGGGGAAAAGGAAGAGGAGGAGTAGGAGGGGGAAGGGAGGGGGAGAAGGAGGAGGAGGAAGAGGGGGAGTAGGAGGGAAAAAAGGAGGAAGAGGAGGGGAGAGAGAGAGAGAGAGAGAGCGAGAGGAGAGCGAGGGAGGAGCGAGAAGCGAGAGAGCAGAGAGAGCGAGAGAGAGAGAGAGAGAGAGAGAGAGAGAGAAGAAGAGAGAGAGAGAGAGAAGAGGAGAGAGAGAGAGAGAAGAGAGAGGGAAGGAGGGAGGGAGGGAGGAGGAGGAGGGAGGAGGAGAGAGGGAGAGGAGAGGAGAGAGAGAGAGAACAAAGGAGAAAGAAGACTAAAAAAAACGGAAGAAGGACGAAGCCGAAAGGAGGAGGAGGGAAGTTTCCCCATCGACGAGCTTACACGTAGGCCTTCCCTCTAATAAAAAAACACTTGAAAAAAAGGTAAATAAAAGGTAAATAAAAGGTAAATAAAAGGTATATATATAATTCCCTAAGATCAATCCACGCTCCACTGTGCAGAGGGGAAAATGCCAAACAAGGCTCATTTAATCTCTCCTCCTAATCGTCTTCCTCCTCTTCCTCCTTCTTGTTCTTCTACCGTTCCTCCTTTTTATCTTCTTGCGTTGCTTGCACATCTTTTTCTGTCTTAGGCTTTCCCAAGTCTTCCTCTTTGTCTGTCTGTCTGTCTGTCTCTGTCTGTCTGTCTTCTGTCTGGTCTTGTCTGTCTGTCTGTCTTCGTCTGTCGTCTGTTCTTTCTCTTTTCCTTACCCGGTTCCTCCCACCCCTCTTCTCTTCCTCTGTCCTTCGCCACTCTCGCCTGTCTCCTACCTCTTTCCCTGTTGCTTATCCGCCCCCCCCCCCCCTCCTCTCTCTCTCTCTCTCTCTCTCTCTCTCTCTTCTCTCCTCTCTCTCTCTCTCTCTCTCTCTCTCTCTCTCTTCTCTTCTCTCTCTCTCTCTCTGCCTTCCTTCCTTCCTTCGCTACTCTCGTCATATTCTCTTTCTCTACCTTCTATTCCTCATCCCCCCTTCTCTCCCTCTCTCTCTCTTCCTCCTTCTTTCGGATCCTTGTCGCACATCTCCTATTTCCCATTTCCCGGTCAATGGCAGTTCAAGTTACAGACAAATCAGCATTTCTGTTCACACTCAAACTTTTTCTTATTCCTTCTTTTTGCTATTCCTTGTTTCCTCCTCCTCTTCTTTTCCACAGCGATATGGATAGAGACAAACACTGCATTATCAGAACATCGCATCAAGGCCAGCTGACCTATGAAAATAATGATGGAAAAAAGGAATCAAATCTATATTTCAAATACTAAAAGGTGAGGTTTTTTTTTTAATAAATCATACATATTTTTCGATTGAAAAAAAAAAAAAACATCAAGGACATAACTTGAATTTTGAACTTAATTCTGCAAATTATCGGAAAAAAGGTCTTTCAAATTCATGCGAAAAAGTTTTCAGCCAGTTTTCAGCCTGCAAAGTTTTCCCAATCGAGATGAAAGTCTGTTAAAAGTCTTTGAATTTTACGTGATCGCACATTAAATTAATTTCTAAAAAAAGGGACGAAAAAGTTTCAAATCCCGCCTCTGCAAACACGATGTAATTATACATCACGCTTATCCTATACCTCAACAACAACAACAAAATGTACCTTTATACTTCCCTCCCTTACTCAAAGGCTACCGACAAAAACAGACGAAGACCAAAGCAGACGAAGGAAGCCGGGAATAAAGCGAGGGAAAGGGGAAGCAAGACAAGAAGCGACCACTGGCTTCGAAGAGTGCAAACGGCTTTACACTTAGTTCAGTCCTTTATTTACCACCCTGGCTAAGTGCAAAGGCGTAGCTGTTGTACATTTGATGCGTGGTCACAGCATTACATAGTAGTACTACATTGGAAATTCAGCCATTAACCTTATTACAATCTGTACTATATCATTTAAAGGAAAAAAATAATCAGTAATTCATCTACTCTTTTACCGAGCCGGCATAAAGCTTGGGCGCGGAAAGGCATTGTTACATATGATATGCGGTCAGTGTACTACATTCCCAATTTAGGATACAACATAAGGCATATCTCCAGAAATCATATGATATGAAATAATATGTTCTCCATACCTCAGGTTTGGTCTGAAAGGCTGTTACTACATGGCACTCTGAAATGGTACAATTATCCGCTTTTGTATTCTTCACTGCATAATCTACACTTCGTTTCTTCAACATTACAGACTGTACTGACCTGACAATACAATCTATATCCTAGTCTGATTCTACACT